TAAATCGGATACATATCTGATGTTGACCTCAGTCTGAACGGTCATGATGCATTTCATCCTAAATTATAATGTCAACAACCACCCAATAAAATCGGATCTTAGCAAAAAATCGGAATTGAGCATTAAGACCTGCAGTGTTACCGTTGGGACTGCAGTTTCCAGAGATTTTACATGGCGTAATGGCACATGTGTTTCACATTAGGACTCATTAGGATCATGTGAGCCAGTTCCTGTTAACACCTGACTAAAAGCTGGCTCCATAAATCACTATGGATACATTTGAATGTGTAGATGCTTTTCCTATCAAATACATAGAAAAAATATAGATTTTCCATTCTATGTCATGCAGGCCTTGCTTATCTACCTGTTTGTGGAACTTCTTCAGAAATGTCAGGTGGTGCAGCTGGAGTCTCTAAAGGTAAGATGAACAAGCCCTCTACCTGCATTAGACTTTTCAGGCTCCGTTGGTAACACAGAGAACACTTTGACACCCAACTTCACTGACACAAGGAAGATACAATAGGAACACATTCAAGAGCGCTAATGACAATGTAAGACACAACTGGCCCTCATTTGCAGAAGGGTTAAGTAAACAAAAATGTAAAAGATGATATAGGACAGTAAATTCCTGAAGGTCAAACCAGACAATGTAATAAAAAAATGAAATGCACAATATGGATTTTTCTTCAGCCAATATGATATTTTAAAAATAAGTAACCCATAGTATTTAGACAGCTGATGGTAGGAGAGGCTATTTTTTGTATAATTTAAGATTGATTTGTGTTGATCTCAGACAGGTGTCGCAGAATGTATTGGGATGGATCAGGTGGGCGTGGAGGATCCAGCCCCCACAGAGGACGAGGATGAGGACGAAGGTGAAAATGCAGAAGCAGGTAAGAAACCTTCTCTGTGAAGCATTTCTTCCTTATTAAATCTTCCTATTAATTCCATTTGCCTTCCAAATTTTTAATTAAAATATTTTAAAATTAAAATAACTATTGGGTTAGGGTTTACACTGGTAACCTGCACTGTGAGAACTTGATTAGTTTGTGGTTTACACACAAATTGGTCTGATGACTGCCGTGCACAAAAGATGTTTATTCTTCGTCTCCTGCGTATTTAGAATGGAATTGTATCTTTGTAGCCTACCTTTCCTCTCATCAGGGCCTACTTAAGCTTCATGTCACTCTGCATTTACAGTCCAACCCAATCCAAGAAAAGCTGTCGACTGTTTGTTAGGGTTTCAAATAGCCAATATGGCGAATCACACACCTGCACTCACATGCAAACATGCTATGTTATATGTTACTTACTAACAAAGATTACACAGTGAGAGATAGTAGTGGTAGAACGTCTAACAAAGGGATTGTATACAAATGAGAAGGTACTACAAAGTTTCCAAATTGTTAACATTTTTCTCTAAGTAGATGAAGAGGTGTTTTTTCTTTCAAGCAGTTTCAAAACTAAAAGGCAAGTCAAGTTAAAGTGCAAAAGTCCACACTGTTGCAACACACTGTATTGAGTTGCATCCTATTGCACCATAACCTGCTGCCTCGGTACAGGGCTGATTTAAATTGTATTGATCTGGTAACTAGATGTTTGGGATCACTGGTTGCACAGTGAGAGATTAATCAAATAGGCCTCTGTTGGCGAGATACACACCCCCTGAAGCCTAATTTGTAAAAATCGTATTTATAGGCATCATTTTGAAACATTAACCGGAAAAGAGAACACTGAGGGTGATGGCAAATTGCCACTTTACAAGTTATTCCTAATTCTCCCTGTCTGTGTATTAGCATATTTTAGTTTTCAACCGTTTTAATTTGACGTAGATGCTGTAATGCAGGGGTCTCAGACTTGAATTAGCTTGGGGCCACTGCTGGTATTGTCATCTGCTGGGCCCCTGCAAGTATTTTCCATTACTAACATCATACTTAACAAAATCATGCCACTAGCATTTTCTATACGGTTTATATGATAATTTGACATCCTGGAAAACAACAAATAAGGGCTGAACCCTTCCCTCTTTTTATCAACTGTCTGCACACATTTGCAGGCACCTCGACCATTTTTTCATTTATTTTTAATTTTTTATTGTAATTGTATATATTAATGGGTAGTTTAAATTGGTATGAACCAACTAGAAACATACATACATTTTGCGGCTGGATTATGAAATATTTTTGACATAATGTCGAGGGGCCGGTTGGAGGGGGATGGATGGCCCGGAAATGACCCCAGGCCAGCAGTTTGATATCTTTGTTATGTTATCTATTCTATGTTTACTTGATTAATTCAGCACAATACATTTCCACAGCACCAATTCTATCAGTATAGCAATATAGTCCTGTCATTCTCACCACTGCCATGCAATCTTTCTGCTCTTTCTAATCTCTATTACTTTACTGTTTTTTCAGTCTGTGTTTGCAGGGGCATTATCTCCCTCTGTCCTGGCATGATTTTGATTGAAGTGTTGAGTTAACAGTGATTTATTAAAACAATGTACTGTAAAAGCAACTGGAGTTAGAGTAAATAGTGAATAGATACAGTTTTTCTGTTAGAAACAAATGTTGCAAAGTTGAGCAGATTGAGTATGAAGTCACTGGTTCACATTGACGCACCGTGATTGTAAAAAGTGTGCATCGGATTCCTTTTTTTCCAACATACATTTATTGATTTTGCACATTTAACACAATTAACACACATACATGTTGAACCTTCCCTAAATTTGCACATTCGTATATAGGCAGTGTATACCTTTTAACAGTGATTAATGTACTGTAGAAGCAACTGGAATTTCAGTAAATACAGTTTTTCTGTTAAAAAGAAATGTGCAGCAGATTATGACTAGAATCTGTGGTGGTACTGATGGAATTAATGCTGTGAAAATTGAAATGTTACAGAATATACTTTTCTGGTACTGCCACAGCCTCCTTATGTAGTTTCCCCAGTCTTTATTAGCAACTGGTCTATATTTGTCCATGACAAACATTTGAAAATGCCACTGTCTAACTTGAAAGGTATTTATTTCCTCAGTGGTGATGCATTCATGGTGATATACTTCAGTAGTTATCATACCTTAAACACTATTTAGTGTCTCTGTAGTTGTTTTTTTTTTACACTAAAACCCTTTTAAGGGAAAAATCCTAGCATTGTCACCTTATCCATGGAGCATTAGACTTGATTCTGTGAGAAGACTGAATGTGTGCTTGGGTTCAATTGCTCTTCTGTCCAGTGGCTTTCTGTCTCCATTTGCATTAAATAGTTGCCAAAGGCACACATCTATCATACTGTATGTGTGTGAGTATGTGTGCATGCACCAGTGTAGCTAGTGTTTGTCCTTGGTTTGGATGAGCAACAAGCATGACAAAGCCATCTTTTATATACCGAATAACAAAAGTTGTTTTTCCTTGAATGTGAGAAGGTCTACAGAATAAAAATAGCAAAAATTATGTTTTGATATTCCTGCACACCCGTCTAATTTTATCATCTACATTACAAGCATCATGTGGCCAAACACTACCCAGATATATTTACACTCTTAGACCCTCAGGGATATCAGACAATATGCAGAAAACCTTTCAACCGTGGTTATTGGTGGATTGGCGATGAGGCTTATTTTAGGTTGATCCTGTTACTTGCTAATAAAGTGTCAAGCTCGCTCATTACAATTCTAAATGGTAGCCATACATGCACACATGCATAACTGCCTATTTCCACAGGATCATGCATAGAAAGAAGCACACATTGAACATATCCACAATCAATGACATTCATAGTTTGACCTCGTTTTCTAAGAAATGCTGTCGTTGATCACATCCCTCCCCCGTGCGGCCTGGAATAGAAACTGATAATAGCTGTAGATATGTCATTGGAGGATTATGACTGATAAACATTCATTGGTCATAAAATGCCTCAGGCGTCAAGCGCTGCTCTGCCTTAAATCTGTGACTGATCTCTCCAGGTACTGTACGTGTGAACAGGGTCAGTCATAGATTGGAGCTAAATGCTCCACAGTTTGTTCAAACTCTGGAAATGGAAAGGAAAGGCAGAATAAAGTACTTAATCAGGATTTGACAGTCGCCTACTTTAATCTTTGAAGCACTTTATGCAGTTAATGGTTTATTCATACATAAATGTATAAAGAGTTACTGGAAGGAAAATGGACTATTACACATATTCTCCAAACACAACACAACTCTTCAGGCTATCTCTGAGAATACCTGCTGCTTTTTTTTACACTTCACTTTGATCCTTTTCCTGTGACAGGATAATTGGTGAGTGTTTGAAACATTTAGTTTAAACTTGTCCAGTGTGCTCGAGCGTAGCCTACAAGGCAAGCAATTTATGCTGAAAGCTTCACAAAGGGTTTAAACCATGATTTAAGAACTGATTTATAATCATATGGACCAGTGGCTTCTTAGGCCTACACTGCTAAGCTGCTTGGGCTATCCCACTGATAGGAAAAATTATATTGTATAATGGCTCATTTGTTGTCTATGTAACTTGCCGTATCTCATTGTCAGTGATAGGCCTTAAATCCATGGGCACATGTCCGTTTATATCACAGAGCCATTTTTAAATGTAATAGTAGGATTAACAGGTGCTACCAATGCTGCTGATTAGGTTCTGTTTTATTAAGTGTAGCAGAGCCTTTCTAGTGAGCCAGTGTGCACATTAGCAGCACCCTGACTCTGTTTGTAGTCTTGTACTCTTGGCACTGCTAATAGGGGTAAGGCTATTTACTCACCAGTTACTTTGAAGTTTTTACATTCAAATTACAAAATGTGATGCATTATTATAAACTGCTCAACAATATAGAAGGTAGTTGAAGTTACCACTGCCTCAACCAGCTACAGCTATTGCAATACTTCTTGTACAATTTTGCATCACTAAAAATAATCCAATAATCTAATGTTTAGCGATATCATTTTTACTGTTCGTACTTTAAAAATGCTGTAAGTGAAATCAGCATTTTAGCTAACTTCCTGTCCGTTCTTGCAGTTAGCCACCCCCTCCCTCCTCTCCATGTGACCACACTGAAATTCTGCTGCCTGCCCTTAAGAACCTTTTGTGGAGTCTCCTGATTGGATAAAGTAGGAACGGGTTAACAGTAAATGTATTCTAAGTGTACTGCAGAAAGGAGGGAGTGGAAGAGCCATGTCACTGCCTGAACACTCTAATATCAGTGATGGCCAGAATGTAGAGATATTTAACACGTGGATAATAATAAAAAATATTACAGCATCTTTAAGTACAATTTGCTGATAATACATCTGTACTGAGTAAAGTTGTGAATGCAGCGCCACTGCTTTTGCATGTTATACAGACTTTGTGTCCACTAGTATAAAAAAGCCATCATTATATAATCAAATAAGACAAAAGCACCTCTCACCCATAAAAGCTGCATGTGCATGCTGAGCAGTTGCTGGTGTAGAGGACTGTCACCTATTTTATTTAAACTCGAGCACTGGCGCAGATGGTGATGGCGGTGTGTTTGTTTCCATGTCCTACTCTTATATAATGGATTTCTGCTTTGCCATTAATTTAACATGCTTTTTTGCCATACATTTAATATACTTGTTTTGACTATCATGTTTAATAATGTACACTCTGCCAGGACCACTTACATCAAAGTTATTACACTCCCCCCGGTTACTTGAAGAACAGAACCTGCTGCGACAATAACATTGTTCAACTTCAGTCCACAGTGTAAGGCAGCTTAAAAAATCTTGCAATTAATAGTTTAGGCAAAATATGGAAATCATGAATGACATGGTGGAGCTGAGGTTGGCAACAAGGGACTGTGACATAAGCATGGTTGTAGCCTGATGGACTGATCATCTAAACAAAGCTTTGATCGTCATTCTTTTGAGATTTATTTGCTACTTTTCTTATCATCTCTGTCTCTATCTCCAGAAAACATTGAAACAAAGAATCCATGTTCCCTCCGTTACTGAGGGGTTAAAAGATGGGAAGGGATCATTTGGGGGGTAAGGTGACCAGATCCCAACCAACCAAATGTGGGACAAAGAGTATGTTTGTCTGAGACATTTTACCAGTGCTCAAAATCTTGATATACTGTCTGTCTAACTTAAAGAATTAATCATTTCTATTCTGACCCTTAGCTCGTAACATCTCTAAGCTTTACCCTCTGGTTGAGTCAGTAGTACACAATAGACAACAACATGTGAAGGACTCAACAAATCTATTTTATTTGAATGCAAATTTCCCACTTGCTCACGCGAGTAAATACAGTAAGCATAAAAAGAAGCTAAAGTTTCACAGTTCTTATAATGGTCTTGTGCAATAGTCTGTAATAGTCGCCTTCCACCGGCTTCATCCAGTTATAAGCAATTTCCCGGTCTTTGCTGTAGCTGCATTTCCTTTTCTTTGTGAAAGTTTCTTTTTCTTGTGATGACAGCCTTCCCTGCTTTCTTCATAGCCATAAAAACCATTCAAATCATATGTGCGACAAGGGATAAATAAAATCTAAGGGTTTACAAGATTTTTTTTTTGCTTATAAAATACTGGATATTTTCACCTCTTCAGGACTCCTTCAGATGAAATCTGTGAAGAAAGACTCACTTCCATGTCTTCAGTGAGGCCAAAACCTGTTATCAGGGGTCACAAGTCATCGCAACATGTTCTCACTTCACAACTTGTCAAATTTCCCCGCTGTCCCACTGGTCACTGGCCCTCCGCTTCAAAACATGATGCTGTAGGTGCCAATTTAGTGTTGTTTCTGGAAATGCAGGGCTCTGTGGTCAAGTTAGCCAGAATAAATATGCAACGTAGCACAAGAAATGATTTACTTTTGGTTTCACATGGGACACCAGTCTTCTGTGATTGTTTGAGGCATCTACCCACCCCACCATCTCCATATGTGCATTTTCTTACTCAGAAATGGCGCTAGAAGGATAACTACGGTGTTATATGTTGAAGCAAAGGGCCAGAGACTTGGTTGGTTATCTACATTTGGGAAGCACTGCTCTAAGCTGATGTCTAAAAATGATTGTCGTTGACCGTATTTGTCAGCAGTCATTGTTCTGCTTTATTTGAGGTCAGAATGAGAGTCTGGATGATATTGTCATTAGCTATAGGTCATTTCCTGCCGTCTGTCTGTGTCTTTCAGATACCGGTTTACTACAGTCAGATGGACTAGCTTTGCACAACCAAGCTGAGAGCCTGCAACCCAACCTTCATCTGCTCGGCTACATCTTCCTCTCCCGGCCCATGAGCCACGCCTTTAACTGCATCCTCCTCTTCCAGTTGTAAGTTACCATGGTGATGATGGAGCCCATAATTTAGCAGGATCTCAACATTGCAACATTTACCAATCAGACAGTAAATAACCATTAGTGTAGAAGAGAGTATATGGGTGGATGTGTTTTTTTTCCCATCAGTCCATTTGTGCTGTATTAAGTTCAACTTCCGTCATTATGACTGTGAGCTGTTTTTAAAGCAGGCCAGAAACATGAACGAATGAAAGCAAATGTTTTTTAACATGTTGGACCTGGTCTCTGCAGCTTCCAGCAACTGACCCTTAAATAAAAAAGGAGGGACTATTTTATTTTCCTAATGGGCAAAACTATGCTCCCTCTTTATTACACTGTTAGTGTAATCCATACGGTATGTAAATAAATTCAGAAATCAAACTATTATCATAATAATTACTTGGTCCAGAAGGATCCATAAGCTGTTTAGCCTAGTTATTGTTTCTATAATTTTTGACATTATTTTTGTTTCAATAGTGGTATCTATGTACTTGTAGCTGTAGGCAAAACAGTGTTTATCTGACTCTGACTCTACGATAAATATTAAATAAATAATGGAGTTGTACTTTAAGGTCAGCCAGTTAGCAGCATTTAGAAAAACTTTAAGTTCAAACATATTTTTGTTGACCTACGTTACGTCATCATTTTGACATAAGTCATAATTATGAGAAAATACAGTCAATACAAAAGCTGTTTTATTTATTTCTCGGAGGTGGTGAAAATAGGCTTCCGCGACTTGTTTTAAACATGTGGACAAACAACTGTGCCACAGATCAATACAGACTGAAGCTAAAATACTGACTCCTGACCTGTCACATAGTTTCTGTTATAGCCCAAGTGTATCCTGCTGCGTCATTGTTACTGGAATACAGAGCAGTATCCGAGCATGTTTAATATAACAATGTTGGAGAGACCTGCAGTCATTTCACTTTCAGTGTTCTGGAGTAGAACAACTACTTTCAACTGAGCCAGACTGTTAAGACTGTCCTTGAGGTTTAGACTACCATTACCATTGGCTTCTGCTGCAAAGTCTTGAGATATTGTGAGTTAGAAGCCTGAGCCAAATGCTGATAAAATATGATCATTGCTGCAGCATCTGCAGTCCACCCACTTTTTAAGGTGAACACTGTTCACAAATGTTTTCACTAACTGTTTTCTGTCCTGTGACCGCTAGTAAATTTGCATTTTGCATTGCACTGAATCAAAAGACCGCTGTGGTTGATGTGTAAATGTAAATGTAAATGTAAATTCTCAGTGCGGTCACCGCTCATACAAATATACGTAGTCTACAAACTGATATCTGATGATTGTGTTAATTATTAATTTCTCAACTAGTCCCAACTAATGTTGTTTTGGCTGATATACATTTTTACTTTGAAAAACATTGATGCATCACCCAAAACCATGTTTAGGACCAGCTGTGGCTACTGCAGGCATTCTACGCTACACTAGCCTTGTAAAAACAGTAGCATTAAGGAAAGGGTTGTGTGTCGACGTGTGTGTCCTTACGGGCGCAAAGGAGGGGGACAGGGCTTTTAGCTTCGCCGGTGGAAGGTCTTGTTATCAGTGTGCAAGCAGCTCTATAACACCTGGCCAATCGATCGTTCCCTCATTGTGTTCAAGGAGGCTTAGTGGTCGATCAATGCCGAGGCTCAACCACACACACACAGATGCACACAGACACTGCACAAAACATGACCTGCATCTTTTACCCTTGGCACCCCTTGGTCTTTATGTACTGCACTACATGGTAGAGCTGTTGTACTACTTGTACTTTTTTGCCAATCTGACTGTGAACCATTTGTTATAAATTGACATTACTTGATGTAATTTTCTCTCACTGAACAAAAAATCTGTGGCAAGAAATGCCAAAGTTGTTCTGGACGTTCACAGTGGACCACCCATTCCTATGTATTGTGTTCTCTCTTCTTTTTAAATGTTGTATGAGGCGTATCAGAGTTTGCATTCTATTAGATGGCTAGTTTTTACTTGTTGACAGAAGATTGACCAATAGTAAAGTACTCCCAGCTAGGGATGTTACAATACCAGAAATTTTGTAGTTGAGACCAATACCAGTGAAATTCCAAGATTCACGATACCAATGCAATCCCCATTTAATATCTGCTGATAGCGAGTCCTGATCCAGTACTAATATAGATGAATAGCTCTGCATTACATGAAGAAAAAAATTGCCTGCAACCAAGCTGTTCCTTGTTTTTTTATTTAATATATTAATATTAATATATTTTTTATACTAAATTACTAATAAACAAAAGAGGCTATAAAATAAACTGAGCTCTTACACACACAGCACAGCGAGTGCATGGAAGTTTTGCAAGTAAATCACCTGTACAGCTTTACTTGTCACTGTTCCTTTTCTTCCTGTGGCATTTAATGGCCAACTAGAGTATTTGTAGGCGTATATGCAGGTCCGGAAGAATTGCATCTCTGGTACCTTATATACTAATATCTATATATTATAATATTATATATATATTTCTAATAATATATATCTTATATATTATTATATATATATTTTTATCTATCTATTATTATATATAATTATATATTTTAATAACTAACTATATTACTATTATATACTTATAATAATACATATATATATATCTTATTATTATATTCTATAATATTACATAATTATATAATATATATATAACATATAATATTCAACTATTATATTCTATAAATATATACTATATCTTTATAATATAATACTATAATTCTTATTATATATTTAATACCTATCTTATTATTATAGTCTATATATACACTATATTAACTAATACTATTATATATATATATAATATATCTATATTATATCTTATATCTTCTATAATATTAATCTATATATTAATATATTACTACTCATAAATAAATATATATTTAATATACATACACCCGTATATTATATATTAATAATAATATATAATATATATAACATAATATTCTACATATTTCATACACTATACATACATTACATATATACATTACATTAATCAATACTTACTACATATACTATATTATATCTAATTTATATATATCTCTATTTATATACTCATTATTAAATATCTATATTTATATCTTATCTATTTACGTATATATTATATTTATTGATTCTAACTATATTACTATATAATCTATATTCTATATATATTACTTCTCTATATTCTTATCACTATATCTTATATCAATATATTCTCTATTTCTATCTATCATATAAATATATTTATATATATATATATCTATATTATATATACTAGTATATATATATTTACTATATTATTAAATATTCGATATATACTCTAATTTATATCTAATTATTATTATTCTATATAATATTCTATTATAAATAGTCTATATATATAATCTATATATTACTATATTATATATATATTATAATATATTCTTATATATATTATCTACTATAATATATATTTATCTATCTTTCATTATATTATATACTATATATCTCCATCATTATATATTATATCTTATATTATATATATATACTATTTATATATCTATATTCTATATATTATATTATATATTCTTATCTTAATATATAGATATGGTTATATATTCACTATATATATTATATTATAAGATATACTGTATAGATATATTATAGTATTATATATACATTATATATATAGATACTGATATAGATATAGATATATCTCTATAATTATATATAAATAATCTAACCTTACATTATATTTATCTATATCACTATATAATACTATCATATATATCATAGTTCTACTATACAAAATTACTACTAATATAATAACTAATACATTATATTACATTACATAATATACTTATATATACCTTATCTATACTATCTATATATTAATATTACTTACATTATATACATATATCCATACTACACTCTATTAATTATACTCTACACATATAACTATATACTATATATATATATATTAATAAATCTTATATATAGTTCTATATTGTGTACTTGTATCATGTATATGTGTTATAACTGTTATGTGTATATGTTATGTATATGTGTATATGTTATATGTGTGTGTGTATATTACCTATACCTATAATATTACTACTATTATAATATATTATAATTGATTATTCTACACTATCCTTATTCTATTATTTTACTATATATATATATGTATATGTTATATGTATATGTATATTGTATATGTATAATGTTGTGTGCTATAATATTATTATATATATATATATATTATATATGTATATTGTATTGTATTATGTTATGTGTATATGTTATTTTGTTTGGTGCTTCTAATATATACATTATAACTAATATACACTAATACCTTACTATATATCTTACTAATATCTATGTATATGTGTTAATGTACTGTAACTATATATATGTATATGTGTATAATTATACATATTTATATGTATAAACTATATATGTATATGTGTATCTATTATATATTTATATATAATTATATATAATTACACGAGCAGCGCTATGATGTTTACTATTGCTGGGAGAGAGATGTTCACGGGCACTCAATACTTTCGTCAAGTTGTGCAATATTTTGAAAAATTGCAGCACTTGTTTTTATATCGGTCGTGGGTACAAGTC